CACCCACCGCGGCCGCACTAGCGCCCACCGCCGCGCGCGCCCGCAAACGCTCCAGCAGAAGCAGGTATATCGCCGCGTGATGATCGTAACTGTTTGAGCGAAGACTCTGCCGATCAAAAATTACCCCAACTGAACCACCAGCCCAAATAAAGCCCAAGCAGACTTCAAGTTTACGTGTCTTTGTTAGTTTAGCGTGCGCCTTGCCCGACTCTATGATAATTGATAAATGGATTTTGCTTTTAAACAATCGCACTATAAATTAGACTGAAAATATATACACTAACGTCGTTGAGTGCAATGCAATAAGGGATGACTAAGTGACATTTTGTTTCACGTAATTGACTATGTGAGTGACACAAATGTCGGCAGGTGAACTACGACAAAGCAACTATGAGAGATAATTTATCATGTACACAATCGTATTGTGACAAGATTTTTATACTTTGGATAGCTGTCACTGTACAGATCTAAGGCACATTGGATTTACCGTACATTTATATTTAGACTACGTAAATGCTACGCCCTATATGAGAAAGATCGTAAAAACAAATTTAAAACGTTATTTGCCACAAATGGACAAAGAAACATTATTATACCTACACCACTGAGATCACATTATTCCATAATTTGAAATGGTACGTTTTCTTGTAAATTACTCTGTGAGGAAAGGCTTATAGTGCGCACGCTTATTTGTTAGTTTTTAAAGATCCTTTATTATAATGTTTAGTTTAACTCCAAGGCGTGATATAGCGTTTGCATTGCTACAATCAGCTTTAATTTTAACTAGTGCATTTGGATAACTGATATCTGATATTAAGTGCATATAAAGTTCAAATAAATTCATGCGAGCTAAGCTTGCTTTAGCTTGTAAAAGCTCTATACAAAAAGTTACTATATCAGTCTGTGTGCAAAAGCATTCAGTAATATTCAAGATAATATATGTAAGGTTACTCACCTCTTTTGTTTTAATAGGGTCGATTCCTAAGCTCTGCATCAGTCGAAGGACTTGCTCATTGGGTTCATTATGTGTGGAAGTATGTGCAGGACTTCGGACCGGGTCGGGGGCTACCACCGGCGCGGTGTAGGGCTCCGTCGACATCCACCGGTGCTTCTTTATCTGCTCTATGGTGTACCGCTTCATGGGTTCCAAGACGAGCATCTTCCGGATCAGGGATTCGCATTCTAGAAAAAAAAAACTTAATTTTAATATAAAATACGACACAAATCACTTCCATTAATGTTAGTGTTAGACTTTAAAATATAATTTTACTTTTCGTAATCCGCTTATCGCATTTGCAAAGCGTTTCATATTTACGTAAAGTCTTTAGTAAACGATATTTAGCTTATAAAAATAAATGACGTAGTTAACATTTTTCACAGCCCTATCCTTTAAATACTGTTTAAATCAGGCCAGGGCTGAGCCCTGTCGGCTCGAGCGATATGAAATTTAAACGCCTTTAACAGGCGCTTCAGAAATTATCTCTGGGCTGCATTAGCGAAAATTGGCAGAGAAGTATGATAGCCATCAGAGATTTAAGCGAATATGGCGAGCGTAATCGTAAAACCCGAGGTTTAATGATACATTCGTGTTCGCAATGACGAGACCGGTGTTAACGACTGCCTACTTAGTGGCATAACTTATAAGCATTTTTTTATATAACGACCTTATATACAATTTTTGCCGTATTGAGAATACAAGTGAATCCAAACAGATTATTTTTAGTACAAGTTGCAAATAAACAATATCATAAACAGCCTTCCTGACGTACGTTTCTAAAATAGTTTCGTATAAATTAGAACAACGCAAGGCGAAAATGTAAGTAAAGCTGGTGACGTCATATGTCAGGGCGTCGGGCTTTGCCTCGCTAAAGGTCAGGGGGAACCGGGCCAGGAAATGACGTCTTTCTGTTATAACATAAGCCGGGAAACTCAATATCGGATCGCAATAGAATGTGTTTCGGGAAATGAATTAAATGTGTAACTGTCCCACTCAAAGACAATTAATTAAAGTAACTGTTGTAGTGACCAATGAAAACATTTAGGACTCCAGTTAGAATTTAAATGACCGATAACTAATAAAAAACATTGCAAATGTAATAAATGATTCTTATTTAAGCATACGTATTCGTGTCGACAAGGGTGAAATTAATTCCGCCGGATAATGCAGACATTTGTAAGCAAAACTCGGCTTCGTCGCTAATTTCATATAAAGTTAAATACGTGAATTCTATAAATTGTCCCTATTATAAAAGCATCAACGTATCATGCGTCATTCTAAATAAAATATCGATAATTGCTTTCATGCGCCCAAACCGGATGACGGCGGGAAAAACATATATCCCCCGCTGGCTGAAAATAAATCTAATGTAAATACTTCATTTTCAGCACTCGGTCTTTAGTTAGTTTTAACATAATATAGTTTGGAATCGCAGTGACGAATACGAATATAAATAATCGCTTAACCGTTTCGTTGCGTTCGGAAATAGATCGCGGCAAGTCGAACGGCCGAATCCTGCACTTCGGGCGCGCAAACAAAACACGCCGCGCATCAACCCAGAGTAATTCCGTACTATTTTATTTACCTTCCCTCGCATCTCTTCTAAAATAAAACCGATGAGTGGTAAAGTTTTCGCCAGGCGATGCTAATAATATCGCGTTCGAACGCAAATATCGTGCGCGGTCCGCCCGACCATTGACGCAATCTAGTGAAAAATGTGCGGGTGTTATTTAATAAAGCGGTGGAAAGTCGGGCGGCCATGATGGCTCCGTGAACTTGTGCGATTTTACGAGATACAAGTCGACGTTCAGACGCCGCGAACGGCCGTCATTCCCTTGGCCGCCGGCCATTAATGATGGCCCATAAACTCGATGTAAACACACCATATATGAATTGACGCATATAAACCGACGTTATTGTCAAAATTAATTTTATGACGACAGCGTTTGTGCATATACGTCGTGTCGTGTCGTTTGTAGCACAAATGATTCACAAGTTATTGAACGGAGGCGTCAAGGGGGCACCTGATGAAAGCAAACACTTGTGTACACTTCACACTTGTAAGAGCTGAAATATTTCTGCAGCAATTATAAATAAAAAGTGTCTGTATGTCTGGTTGTCTGTATGTATGGAATGTAATACATAAGGTGTAAATCTGAGTATAAAAAGATCATATTTCGTGGCGTTGCTCATAACGAAAAATTATTTTTCTTTTCATTCTGCAATGACAAAATCGCCGGCAAATGATAGTATAAATGCAGGTGTCTGCTCAAATAGCAACTGAAACGTAGTCATATTAATGTTTATGCAAATATAGTCCATAACATTTTCTTTTTAATAATATAGAGCGCTTAAGTTTTTTTTATTTCTACTTATCTTTTTAAACTTTACCTAACTTTTTCCGTCCTTTATTTAAAAGTTTTACCGTTGCGAAAGCGTGAGAAGCGCACTGAATAAATGATTTCCGGAATTTACCTCTAACTTTTAATTAAACAAGCCCATGTGTTGATAGACGCCGTTATTTTTATTATTAACTAACAACCTCACAAAATTATGTGGTAATTTTAAGCATTTATTATCATGCGAAATACAATACTTGTGTTTTTACAATTACTGCAAAAGAGGCATATTTAAACCTTCTGATTTAATTATCCTGAATCAGCCGGATAATAAATGACAAATGTCTAAATAAAAGCAATTTTAATAAGACCAAAAGATAATTTTCGCAATAACAAAAGGGATATTCGTATGTTAATATCGCCAGAGAACGGCTGACGTCAACGCCGCGACACCGACCGCCCGAGCGATTTGACTTTGAAAGAAAATACATTTTTCATAACGTCCTCCGATGCGGGCAAAGGGGGCGAAGGGGGCGAGGACGACAAACCGTGCGTAATAATCCAACTCTGCCAACCCAATGAATATTACCGCAATGGAAAAACCACACCAAATTAGTCTCGTTTTTTCACTCGATTTTGAATCGTTCATATTGACATGTTTAATTAAAATCTTTACCAGCAATTTGGATTAGTACTTAACCAAACAACATATGGTAGCGCATTAAATAAAAGCTTAATGAATCTGTCACTGTTACAAGCTTATATCTGCTGCGGTTTTAGTTAATTTTGCTACGACTACGACGTTAAATGACAGCTAATATGAAGAGATAAACACGACGTTTATAAAATGTATAGCCAGAAAAATTTAATAACGCGTATGTACGTTGTGATACAAATATTATTGAATCTCCGAGTGTGACTAAATTTTCCGCTACGCGAACTTTCTATTAATACAAATGAATTATTCATCCCTAATACATAAATATCAGGTCTTTATAGGGTGCGAAGTTTTATAACCACGGGTAAGGCTCATAAATAAAAATAAACTATGAATAGATACCATGCTATACAATAAAGTTTTGTAAAACAATACAAGCATACTCTAATTTCTGCACTCAGTTATTTAATGGTTATTTAACGGTCGTTTAGTGAATATATATTTTATTACACTTTGTCGACATGTGCAAATATAATGCAAAAAATCGTAGAACAGAAAGCATTTGTAGCAAAAGCCGTGCTAGAGTGGAGAGTATAAAACGTTCTCGTTTTGTAACATGGGCTAGCTGCATCAGCTGTTCGTGTGCCGCCATCTTGTTTCCTGCTGACTAACTTTTTTATTCAAAGCGACGTTTTTTTTTTAAACATGACAATGAAAAACAGCCAGCATGTCTTTTATAAAATAAATGTTGTAGTTATTCCGAGGTAGCTAACGAGGTACGATTACTGATTAAATCATTCTCACAATTTTAAATGTGAATAGAATGTTAGTTTTTGTATAATATATTATTTTATTATAATTCGTCAATTCGTAATTAGACAGCTTCGAACAAAAAGTTGGCATAGAATTAAAAATTATAAAGTGTTCCTTGATGCAGTTGGATTTTTATGATTATTGACGTAGGTGTGGTTATATAAATTGTCTTTCCAACCAGGGTCGAAGGTTAGGGCAGATATACCTACTTAGGATAAGTAAGTATTTTACAATCGCTTAGAGGCACTGTGCAAGCATGTCACGTAACCAGTGAGATTTTCCCCGCTGATACCCATTTGTGCAATGTTAGTCGAGCAAGGTCAAGTCCTCAGATATATATCTATGTTACGGTCAAATTGTGAAAATCGTTAGTTTGGTGTCTTACGAATGTTGATAGAAATTGTGAAACGAAAGAACTCTATCTACTGATGTTAAATCTTTGAATGATGAATTAGTTGAAAAAAAGTAAAATTTGAAAATTCATAAAACTTTAACTTCAGTTAACAATTATCTATTAATGTTATCAACATTGCTAGTAAGAAAAAAAATAGATTTATTTTTTACACAAAGTACATTTTATGTAAAAAGTTTACGTTGGTCTCAGGTGTGTATCTAGACACGTAAATACCACCTAAAATATAACACGTATACAGTTTTCGTTAGGGAATACAGTACGTCGTTGGAACACGCCATGTTATGAATATTTGAGACTAAATAAGACTTCGTTTGAAATAAACACGTACAAGGTTACAACTGAAACGGTAGGCGAAAGTATTATTAATTTTTAAATATATATTAGTTTTACACGAATCGTTTAGATTTTGATTAATTCAGAACAACGTTAAAACGTGCATAAAATCTTTAGTTTCCGATTCAACATTGATATACAAACAACCCCAAAATTTAAAGGTTATTTAGAAAAAAAATACAAAAACCTTTCTCATCATCGTTTTTATGAACCCGAAATTATTTTAGCATTTCAACAATTTATGCTAAAAAAAATAAGTCAAAGTAGCAAAAACAATCCAAAGTAGCTTAACGTCTTTCAATCTCAGTTCCTGTAAACTTATAATTTCTTACGTCAAAGGTACGGTTTCCACTTCATGAAACGTTTACGTAGCCAGCGTCAATGGATACTATTTCTGGCGCCACCGTCATAGAGCAGCACGTGCTCGATCAATGAACAAAAAGTAAGTAATCACTTTATGATATCGTGGCTGTAGAAGTAACTATAATGTACGTAATTTGTTACAAATATTTTTTAATCTACACGACATTTTTAGTTTCACTCCTCTACTAATATAAAAATTAGGAAAGATTTGTATTTTTGTATGTGTTGAAATAACTCAAAAACTACTGGGCTGATTTTAAAAAT